GGGCAAACATTTATATTATTATTCTTTGTAATAAGTGTTTTAGGTGTGTAACTTGAAGCATCATCCTGTTGAAAAATATAAATATCAACAGGATAGATTGCTTCAGTAGTTGTTAATATTTTTTTACAATGTCTCTCGATATTTGTTTGAATTTGTAATTTCCCTTCCATGAACGTTGTTAACTGGTCTTTAAATTCCGTTAATAGACATGCACCCCCAAACCATTTTCCGCTTGCAAATTTGACTCTTTGTTTGAGATAATCCATATTAAAATTCCTTTTTTATTTCAATAGCTCTTTTTCGACTATTATCTCACCCAGACATCACATTTGGACTCAGCGTTATATATTACTTTTCTCCAACTTTTATTTTGGTCATATTAACCGATTTTTCTTGTGGGCAGTTTTTAATTGTGGTTTTACTTTAGCCTAAAATAATTTAAATAAATAATAAAGTCCATCAAAGATAGCTTTATTTAAGATTTACAATGTAAAAACCAAGGCCTGATTTGTGTAGGCATTCGCGACAATATTGTCTTGAAAAATTTAGTTGGTTATTGCTATTCCAGCAAGTAGTAATTTCTCTTGAAGTACTCCGTCGTCCACTTTTATAAATTTTCATCAGTTGTCGTTGATCACGCGGCTTCACAAGTGGTGGCCTACCGGGAATTTTACCTTTTGTTCCGATGGTACCTCTGTCTGCGTAATATTTTACGACATTTACCATCGACGACTAAGCTATTTGGAACAAATCTTCACTTTTTCTTAGCGATTTTCCCTTGAAGTACCGAGAAATTATTATTTTCAGAACTTTTACTAAAACTAGCCCGCCGCTAACTATTTTTTTCTAAATAAAACCAACACTAGCATGAAATGCTTAAGATCCCTATAATAATGGCAGCATTTACCAGCTACTACGTTTGTATTTCGATGGTATACTTATTAGCAAATTTTCTCGGGTGTCCCAACATTTAAATGTCAGCAAAAATTGCACATTTTTTAGTTAGGTGACAATTTTTGCGCTCTAAGAAAATTTATTAATTTGCAAAATACCTCACTCTCTGCCAAAATAGATGCCCATGCAAAATTTGCATTTAGTCCAAACGAATTGAATGATATCAAAAATATCTACCGGATTTTTTTGAGAAATTGTCTGTGTCCCAATATTTAGTTGTTAGGGCTCGTATCATTTTTGATCAATCAATATAATTAATCAATTAATTAATAATACAATGACGGTTACAGGCACCCTAATCATTGAAAAGCCAAGTCTTCAGTATATTCCACGATGACGTACGTTTTCGTTTTCGGAGTTTACTTCTAGGCGTAAAGTTTTTGTTGTGTTTAGGACTCTTTACCCTGTATATTTATTTCTGTAATGCTAACTAAATTTAGAAAATAATTTGAACATATTTCAGAATGAAAACTGTATTTTTTACGTATCTTTCACCGTAGACTTAAGCCTCAACGTTACGGTTACGTTACAGACTCGTCAATAATGTGTTATTGCAACTGCACACTACACCACTTTACTTTAATAGAATGACCCGACCTTTTGCTACATTTCATTAAGGTAATTTAGGGAAGGCAGACAAAGATTACCACTAAGTATTAACGGGGGCTTTAAAATAAAAAAAATTGGCTTAAAAGTTAACCTTGCATTTCACCTACATACACTGAAAAAATATGCTACTGCAATGCCATGAAAATTGTTTTTTCTAGCTTTATCTGAGTGATTTTAAAAAATTGTTTGAAGCCAGAATCTGCACTAGTTTACCATGTGGGGCACAACACCGAAGCTGCAAAGGCTGTATTGTAAAAATACAACGTTAAAAATATTTCATTAAAATTAATAATTTGAATAATGGATATCTTTTTCCTTTTTTATGATATTGAACTTGTTCTCTCAAAGCGGTCATTTTGATGCACTTTCAAGAAAACTTGTTGTTTTCTAGACTTTAAACGTTTAAAAAATAATTTTTGTTAAACGGTTCAAAAATCAAATTCGACACATTTATTAAAGTACCATTTTGAAAAGGTTATTTGGTTGAGCTTAGTTCTGAAAATAGTCACTAAATAAAAAATAAATAACAAATGAGGCCGGCATCTGTTGCAATAGCTTTTCAGTTCAATCTATTTTTTAAGTGAACTTATTAATTTAATTAACTTTATTGAGATACTTTGCTTCTAGTACTCCTGGATACGTGTTATATCTACAGCGACAAATTTTTTTAATAAGTACCAAAAATGTGTGCAAATAAAATCTTTTTGTGTACATTTTTTCAACTTATGATTTTCTTCAGCATTTAGTCCTTCAAGTAGCTAAAAGAGCACTGAAATTTCAAGCATTTTTGTCTCACGTATCCTATTAAAAAAAACTTCTTGACAATTCAAAAACAAAGGAATTACCTTTTGGTGTAGGGCTCCTTCTTAACAGTCATTAAAAGATGCCAAAATATGGCAAAACGCCGTTTTCAATTCCATTCTTAAAGACTTAGCGACATATGTACTTGTTGGCACCACAAAAATGTACACGGGAATAATTTTTATATTGAATTAGACGGTTTCCTGTTTTTTTCTTTTTTAATAAAAAGCGAAAAATTGATTTTTCGTTTTAAGACAAAATTATAACGTAGTTTACAGCCTAAAAAACTGACAGTGTAGAGAAAATATTATTTCCTATCAAGGAGTAATCTTAATTTTTTTGTTAAATTATCCATCTTTTAGCAATTGATGATTAAAGCAAAACTTAAATAGCGTATTTTCTTGTAAATGTAAGCAACTCAATATCCTCTTTTGTCAGTTATGCTTTTGATTTTTTAGGGGGAGTCCTCTATTTTAAAGCCGCTGCCGAGTAAGTATGTAAATGAGGTGGACCTTGTTAAGTTTTTACCTGAAGGTTGTGGAATCGTAAAATTGTGTATTACATTAATCCAATTTCAGGATAACAAGTTTTATCCGAAACTGCTATTTTAACAGCCATAATTACTGTTTTTTTTTTAAAGAGTGTAATAAAACAGTTTTATAAAAAATTAACACTACATTTTATTTAAAATTAACAACAGTTCCTTTCGGATTTTAATAATTTCTGTCTGTCTAACTTTTACAAAATAACAAACTGTTTGTAAACAAAACAATAAACAGAAACGAAAAAAACACAATTTTTTGATTTTAGACAAATTGATTTGACCTCAAAAAGATCGTCTTTTATAAAAACAGTATGATATTTTTTTTATTCCATAAACTGCACTTCATTTGCATACTGTCTCGGCAGGAACATTAAAATCCATCTAACCTCTCAATAGTGGAATTCCCCCTAATAAATCAAAAGCATAACTGACGACGAGGATGTTGGGTTGCCTACATTTATAAAAATGTGCTATTTAAGTTTTGCTTTTCAACAATAACTTAAAATGGATAGTTTAACAAAAAAATAAAGATTACTTCCGGGTAGGCAATAATATTCTCCACAGTGTCAGCTTTTTAGACGACAAAATACGTTACACTCTTATCTTAAAAAGAAAAATGGGTTTTTCAGTTTTCAAAACGAAAGCTTCTAATTCAATATAAAAACTATTCCCGTGAACATTTTTGTATAGACAAACAAGTACATATATCTAGTGCTACCGTAAGGATGAAATTGGAAAAGGCGTTTTGCCTTATGTTGGTATCTTTTTATGACTGTAAGGATTGAGTTTGTTACTTAAGATTTAACATTGTATTCGGTCACATGATGTAACTAATATTTTTCTTACGCCTATTTAGAAACATATTCATGGTGTATGCAGAGAAACGCATGGTTAGGGCAAAATGTCAGTAAAAATCGTAAGTAAAATATACTCTTAAGTCACATACCTGTATACATTTTTGAATTGCAGTTTTTTAGCAATAACTATAAAAAAATCAATATCCACTGTGTCTTACTTTTTTTGCTTTTTATTAAAATACCTGCATGTTTTATTTTAATTTAAAAGAGAATTTTAAAATATTTGTGCGATGTATGTTCATCCTTAGAGAGCAACTTCTTCCTACAAATTTCTTGAATACCATGTCATTGTAAATGAAATGAATTAGAGTCGACTGTGAAACCAGTTGTATAGGTGGTATTACTGCACAACTAACACATCAACATCGTTTAGTCAAAGACTGATTATTTAAAGGTTATGTTGACATGTCAAACTGAAGGCAATAATACCACCCATAGTTTGATAACGGCAACCCTTAATTTTTTAAATTGCATCACTGAAATATTTTCAAACACTTAATTCCAAGAAAAAAGTTCATTTTCAACTGCTTTAATGTTCCGCAAAAGCACCCTATGCTTTGGTAATATTTTGTGAAAGCGCAGTACAACAACTTTTCTTTAAAATGACAAAATATAAAAATGTTGATTAATTTACAAAAATATAGTAAATTACTATGTAGTACAATTTTAAAATATTGTAAGATACGAAAATTCTAGAAAAAAAAAATTAGTAAAAATATTAAATTTGTTGTAGTCACATGATTTTTCACTAATAAGAACATCATATTTGCTAAATGCGATCTAAATCGTGAATTGGCATCTCTATGCTCAAAAAAATCTGTACAGTCAAAAAACGAGTTTATCTCTTATGTTATTTAGATAAAATATGCCATAAAAATATAATATCATTTTAGAATATGGGGTAGTGAAAACTACATTAAGGTAGCCATTAAAAACAATTTAATTTGGGGAAACACGTTTTGCCTTGAACTACAAAATTTGGTGTGAAATAATCAATGAAAAATCTTTCACCAGGAAAACGTCAGATATAAACAAAGATAATGGGTATTCAGATGTTTATGATTATGAGTCATTCATTACTCATTGCACAATACATGTGTCATTAAATTTTATTGAAGTCTAGATTTCACATTTAGTAAAGTTATAAATTGCAGCAATTTGCTACATATTTTATATTTATGGAAAGGTGTGTTACATAAAATTATGAATGTGGTAAATTGCAACTTTTTTCTTACCAAAATCCGTAACCCTTGAAAATGTTTCGAACGTGGTTTCATAAGGCCTCTCTTGAAAATTTTTAACTAGTTTCCACCATGATGGATGGCTGCTGTCTTGAAAAATATTTAATTCAGCAAAAGATTTATCCAGCTGAGCTGTCTCTGGGTCATCCCCATGAATAACAATATACAGATGTTTATCTCTTTTAGCAGATACAGTCTTCAGTAAACCTCGCATGAGGGATAGTAAATAATCGCAATCTCCGTGTTGAAATATGAAACAACATGTCACTTCTGATTTTCCATCGAATATAGTAAGTTGTCGGTTTTTATTGGAAATCTTGAAACTCTTGATATCATTAAAATTGACTTTTAAAAACTTAGGTCTAGTTGAAGCGTCAGGGGGCTGACTCTCGCTGAATGTTCTTGATCTTTTTTGGACGGTATTGACAACTGCCCATTCCTGATCCTGCACATCCGAATCCACAGTAACATCGTTTGGTTTCCACTCGAGACACCTTTTGCAGTTGGAATTGGCATATTCTGTTATGTACAACGTACCCACAAGATTCAAATAATTCACATAGGTGGCTTGAGCCGACTTCAGCTGGACCCCATCTTGCGAAAAAATTTCCATGCATTCCATTAAAACGTCGCCCATTTTTTTAAATCGTGCTTTAATTAGATCTCGAAATTGACTGTTAACACTGGATTATACGTCAGTTGGATCAGTCATGGTCACGTTGTTTTCACAGGGGCAACAATAAAATTACACACTTTCACAAACATTAATTTAAACAGAGACTTCTTAAGTGACAGTTGCTTTGACCATTTAAATGTGCGACCCAGGGTTTGAATCGCCCGATAACGTATCACAACAGCAGTGTTATCAAGTACAAAAAATATGAGTAGATCACAAAGCTACAAAAACAAACATTCTTTTCTTGCATGACGTTAGTGACATTTAAATGACATATTTTGATATTTTGACAGACGGACAAGACATTATAGAGTTCCGCGTAGAAATACAGTGGTCGATTTCCACCTATCACCGCTTAGTTTAGCACTACATTAATAGATGGCGCATACGAAATACATTCTGAATTTATTGAAAAACATTTTTAATATCATTATTATTAACTTTATAATCATTATAACAAATAAAACCAACAGTGAAGAGCAAATGTTTTGGAATTTAAGGCTTTCACGACCGACTTAATAACAGAAAAACGATTTGCGGGTCTGAGCAGTACCATTTTTGTTTAAAAAGGGTCACCCATTTTCGTAAGAGACATCTTCAGGAAATAAAAGTGAAAAGTAAGTAAAGTAACGAAAAGTGCGGGAGAGATGAGGGCGATATTGGAGATTTCGAATACCTTACGTAAATCTGTTCTAAAATGTTAGAAGAGAATTACCTTCAGAAGCGTTTCTTTTTCTCCCGAATTGTTCTTCTGCTTATTCTTTATTTCCTAAAGACGTTCCTTTTAAAATTGACACTGTCCAAACCAGAAGAATGCCTTTCTATTGGTAAGGGTTTTCATTGCATTAAATAAAATATTCGACATAAGAATAATTGTTGTGATTTATTTTTGAAACTAAAAATTAAAATTAATTTGTTTTTATTAGTAGAGTAAAACTCATTTGACATACATCTTGTAAAACTTTTATGACTTAAGCAGCTTAAGCCAAACCACCCTTATAATGGACCCGAGCCGCAAGGATTATTACTGTCCATTGTTGCCATAATGGAGCTGTAAAGTTTTACTAGGTATATGTAAACTGAGTTAAGTTATACAATAGCCAGTTTGACTTATAAGGGTGCTTTGGCTTAAGCCCCTCAAGTCATAAAAGTTTTACAAGGTGTATGTCAAGTGAGTTTTGTATATGCAGACTTCCTGTTTTTGTCTGAAGGTTTTCTTCTCTGTCGAAAATTCTATAGTGAAGATGATAAAACTCTAATTAAAGTATATGTATATTATTATTCATCATTTACCATCAAAATAATTTTGTTTATAATAATAAACAATTTTTAACGGAAAATAGACGTCGTCGAAATTATTAAATAATAAATGGTGACGTCTACTTTTGAGTTAAGCATGGAATGTACTATAAAGACCTGATAAAGCCCATAGTACCCATAAATAAATGGAAAAAACAATTGTACACAACTCGCTGAGATGCATGTAGTAACCTAAAATCTTAAAAACTGTATTTAAACAAATTAAATTCCACCTACACTGACATTATAATTTTGTGCTTTGGTTATATACATATATATTATAATTTATTATGAAAGAAATTGTAAAAAATACATATGCAGGAATAATTCATAAATAATGGCAACATAGTCCTCTCAAAAATAAATTAAACGTTTCTAAACGACCACAGAACGTTTTTATTTGTTGTCTGAATTTTGGAAAGTGTGTTAAAATTGGTCTCCCGCTTCTATCTGTCTGTCAGTCTATCTGTCCGCCGTCTGTGTCGTTTTTGTTAGACCGATAATCTTGGAAACTACCAGACCGATTGTTGTCGAAGTAGATATTATGAATATCACGTAGATGATAAAACGCTAACCAAACTTTGCCTAATCATTACTTCAAAATCGTACATAGTAAATGGGTTTTAAATTGTATAAAACAACATTGTCCTAGACGTATAGTTTATGAATCCGTGTTGGTTCTTCGTGACATTTCTTAGCGCTTAGAATATGAAAAAGTATGAAATTGCCGTCTATCCGTCTATCTACCGTCTGCTGGCAATTTTTTTTAGACAAATAATCTCATAAATTACTGCACTGATTATTATGAAATTTTAAATGCATTTTAAGAATATCGTGTAGGCCAGGGAGGAAAGAGGTTCTCTGAAACAGTGCGAAAAAATTAAAGTTCAGAGAGGACCATATTTTACAAATGTTACCACGGCCACCTCCAGAAAATGTTTCACTTCCAGATGGTCGCATTCGTCCATCAAAATGTGTCTGATATTTTCCATCAAAAATTTGGTGGCATCATCTCAAAATTTGCGTATTGTAACCCTATTATAAAATTTAATAATATGCATGTAGATTTCGGAAAAAAGTCAACATTTATGCATCGCATCAACATTGTACTATTTAGCTTAAAAAATTTAAAATCGATTGCTGAACAATTTTGTACATGTTTATCATGAACATTGTAAATCAGTAAACATAATTCACCTGTTCATCCTTTCAAAAAAATTGGTGACGTTTTCTCAAAAAATTTTGTCAAGTCTTATTTAATATTTGAAAAATAATATGTTTATTTACAACGGATTTGTCCATTTGGAAAAACATCAGGATTTTGCAATAACATTTTAATAATAACTATGAAACCGATTTTACATGTTTAATTAAGATCGTGAAAACGATAAATTACTAATCGAAATTCATCGATTTTTTTCTATCTAAAAATTTGATGACGTCAAGTAATAATCTTGCTGAGTAAACCTTATTCGAAATTTATAATGTGATTTGCTGATGTATGTACGTGGTTTAATAAATCTATCATATTTTTAATTATACAGGGTGTTATTGAAAGGTACGTACAACAAAATTGACAGTTCTTCGCGAAGTCTAAGAAGTCTGAAAAACTTATTTTGTGTTATCAAAATTGTAAGGGGAAAATTAACCCTTATCCAACCTTTTTAGACGCTACTGATAGATAAATTAATTTATTTTAGTAAATCTTAACAACTGTAACAATAAAACTTTTGTTATGACTGAATGTTGCCATAGAAACGAGAGATGATCTTTTTACCAGAGGCGTACAACGAATTTGGACAAAAACTTTAATAATTTTTATCTCTAAAAGGAGAACACTTTTACCTGAACTTTTTTTAACTTTTAGCACCCATACTTCGAGACCAATTGCCGATTTTATTTTGTACGTACCTTTCAATAACACGCTGTACGTACACGAGTTATCGTAAAAACAAATTATACAAAATTGTCCCAGAATTTATTTTTTTTTAAAGCTTCGTAAGATACTAATATTGATTATTAATTACAGAACAATTATTAAAACTTATTTATTCGTTTCCTATAAAAACTTAATAACAATATGGCAAAGATTTATTAAATAAATGTATTGTAAAAATTTTCTTGTTCTTTAATAGTACACATATTTTTTATATTTTAGACTTCTTTATACAGGATGTTAAAAATATGAATCAATGAACTGCTTAATTTTATTGATTAAATCAAAAATAATTTATGTATAATTTTCTAAAATTTCTAGAAACAAAATGCTGTCTATTCTATGATTTACTATTGGAATTGGTCTTGTTTGAGTGTGCTTCAGGGAGGTCAGGGAGAGGGAAAGGCTAATTTTTAGTTCTTGGGCATAAGATAAGGAAGTATTGTATCGAATACATCGGGCGACTGGCTACTTTCATGTTTTTTCAACATTATGACCCCTAGGGTACGAAAAAATAGGACCCCGATTTTGTCTATCGTTTGTCGTCTTTGTCGATATTTATTGTAAAATGTATGTAGCAACACCATGTAGATGGTAAAACGCTAACCAAAATTTGTCTCGTCGTCCCCACCAACAATGTGACGACGTGATCTAAAATATTGTATAGCATTGTATATATATGTATTAAACATTGCACAAAATAGTACTGTTACACTTCTGGTTTATGAATATATTATGATTTTTTATCCTAGACACCCAAATTTTTGGAAAAAGATCAAAATAATGAAAATTGTACAAGAACATTTTGCAACTTAACTTTGAAACTCGAAAACCGAATGCTTTGAAATCTTGCAAAGGTTTTAAGGCTATATGTCGCAAGCATGGTAAATCGGTAATTAAAATGTATCCGCTTTCCCCTGAAAAAAATTAATGATGTCATCTCAAATTTTTCTGAAAAAATCTTGTCTAAAATATGCAAAATATTAACAGTCGCATAATTGTGGTTAAATTAATGAATAAAGTATTTTATTGATTAAATCAAGAACGGGTCGTCAAATTTTTTCAATAATTTGGGAATGTAGTCCTGTTGTTATTAGTGTTACACTCCATTTGTACAAATTGATGGAAAAATTCTCTTGAAACATACGCATAGCATGTTTTTACCTTTACTTTAACACTACACACACTTTTATTTTAATTTGTAGGGGTTAGCATAAAAATAAAAAATAAGATAATAAAATCAAATTTTATAATTTTGGAAAAAGTTGGATATGTACTGTTCTCAAGAGCGAGGAAATTTTTGTCTAAAATACATATTTCATTTTTAAAAAATGTAGCTACTAAAACACTGGAACACTTTGTTTCCCAATAGCTAATTAAGGCAAATATTGTTCAGAGAATATATTTGAGGAACATCCAAATTATAGAATATTTCAAAAACGACTTTTTTAATTTTTCTGAAATTCCGCAAACATAATAACGCAATGAAGAGAGTTACATTCCACGTACATACATTGCACAATGAACACAATAAAGAATTTCTTCCAACAAAAATTTAAATTGATCTTTATTAAATAAAATAAAAAAAACATCTTTGAATACGGTAATGCGAAGTAGTTGAGACCACCAATTTTCAAATAAAACAAAACGACATATAATACTAATGAAGAGAAACAAGGAAACAAAAATGAAACAGAAAAATTCGGTATGAAAAAGAGTAGAATTATAACATAAGTAATCGAGAAAGTTGTCAAGCCGATAATTTGCCATAACAGGAGAAGGGAGGTTATATATACAAGAAAAAAACTCGAAAGGCCACCCTACCAACAATCCAAGCAGTGAACACTCTGAAGCTTATTTTCATCAAGACTGCATTTTTTGTGCATTCAATAGCCTTTAAACTTCGCATTAAACCTTGATTGTCTTTGAAACCGGTCACTCTTTGATCAAGCCCGTGACAAGGGTTCGATTCTTATGCATCGACCTGCAGACAGGTAAAAGATTCGGCCCGATAAAAAATCCAATTTTCGAAACAT